TAGGAATTTTATAGTTTTGCATTTTGCATTTAGGTCTTTGATCCATTTTGACTTAATTTTTGTGAAAGATTTAATGTCATTCTTTTTGTTTGTGGATGTCCAGTTGTTCTAGTCTCATTTGTTGAAAAGACTATCTTTTATACTCTGTTTTGAACTGTCTTTGCTCCTTTGTCAAAGATCAATTGACTATATATATGTGGGTCTATTTCTGAACTGTCTGTTGTATTCAGTTGATATGTCAGTTCTTTTGCCAGTACCACACATGCCATTTTGATGACTGTAGCTTTGTATAGTAAGCCTTGAAGTTGAGTAGTGTTAGTCCTTCGACTTTCTTCTTCTTCAATATTGTTTTGGATGTTTTGGGTCTTTTGCCTGTTCTAATAAAAAATTTAGAATCACCTTGCCAATATCCTTAAAATAACTTGCTGAAATTTTGATTGGGATTGTGTTATAATATTACCACAAACATAAAAATCTGTACATTTAACTTTTAGTATAAAGTTTTTATTAATGGTCATGAAACACTAATGATTTTATGAAAACAAAACTGTGACTCAGGTTACATAAGAAATGAAGAAGAAAAGTCTCCCCACCCCACACACGTACACACACACACAGATACAAACATCTGCACTTGCTAGTCTCACCTATGAATCATGAACTTTTAGATTAGCACAAAATCACACATCTTAGTAATCAAGAAGTTCTGTTGGGAGTGGGAAGAATAAAGTTATTTGTAAGTATATGGGTGTAGCCATAGAATTTAGAGAAATTCCTTTAAAACTGCAGTAAATAATTATGCAACAATGATTTTTATGCTTGTGGGTTTAATATCAGGTTCTGGAACTGTATGTGAATTCAGTTTAAGTGGGTAAAGAAGGTTATCTCTTCAAGATTCTTTTCTCTAGTTTACACCTTTTTTTTATATATCTTATTGATTTTATTGGCAACACTTAAAGAACAAGGTTAAATAATATTGGAGACAGTGAACTTTCATTTCTCATGCCTTTGAAACCACTGGACTCATTTTTGCCTGCGCCCATATCTCTAATGGTTCATGTCTTCATATTTACCTGCCTGTCTGGGCTCTGATTGGCCACATAAGATCTCACTTCATTAACACATGGCTACTAGCATTCTAGTGTGTTCATGCCACAGCAACTTTGCACTCTTTGTGTTGCTTTCACTACCAGAGTTTTCTGTTAGAAATTCATGAATGTTAAAATTTATACAGAAGTACAAATGTATAAACTTAATGTGGGGAATTATGGCCAGTAATTCCCCCTTCATCTCTTATTTTTTCTCACCCTTCTTACACATTTGCCCCTGGATTTGTGTCTTTAGTCTTAGAAAGTGATTTTACCTCCCATTCTAAGATTTATTTTTTTATGTGGAAACTGCATCATCTTCTCAGTATCTGAAATCTCACATTCTGAGATTAAAATCTTCATTATCTTTCTGTCCTGTGTTCCCGCTCCCTCCTATCTTCATAGTCTCCTTTTATTTTCTGAAAATAATCCCTGTTATATATTTGTTTTCTGTTCCATCTTTGCCTCTTTCTGTCTCTAAGATTTCTCTGTTATATTCATTTTTTCCCCAGAAAACTTCATTTGTTTCTCCCAGTAGGATTTTATGTCACTTTTAACTTATTGTCAGATGGTTTAGCAACAAATACATAGATGCAAAGCAAATGTGTCAGTATTTTAACAGTTAGTAAATATAGGTGAAGGGTATATTGTTGTTCATTGTAGTATTCTTTTGATACTTCTATTTGAAGAAATGTCTCAAGATAAAGAGGTTGGAAACTATTAATAATAATATGATAGTAAGTCATTTTTATTAATATTTACTATATATTATGTATTAGTCCAAGCACATATATTAACATATATTACCTCATTTAAGTCTTATACTAACCTAAGGAGACAAGTATTGTTATTATGCCCATTTTATAGTTTAGGAAATGAAGCATAGAGGGATTTGGTAACTTGCCCTGTGTGTTGTGTAGCTAGTAAGTAGCAGCTGAATTTGGACTCAAATGATCTATGCAGATAATATTAAAATGAATAAGATATGGCTCTGTTTTCAAAGGACTTACAATCCAATTGGAGTTGAAAAGTGTATAGGTTTCTTTAGTTGATGCTGTGAAACAAATTAAGGATCATAAAATGATAGTTTTATCTAGTTGGGGGATCAGGAAGGGCTTCTGAAGAAAGTAGCATTTCAGTACTAGGAAAAAATAACAGGATTAATTTTGAATCTTATGGTGGAGGTGTTTGAAATGGAACCTAAGGCATATAAACTTTGTTCAGTGAGCAGTAGAGAACATTGAGAGTTAAAGAAACTATGGCCCAAAGATAATAAATATTTTCAGTAGCTAATTACTGTCAGATATGATTTAAACTGAAATCTGAGGTGAGAGCTGGCTATTGTGGCTTTTCTAGATGTCAGTTCTTGGTGTCAGTGAACAAGACTACTTTACTCTTCCTTAAAACATTTTAAATTTTTTAATTCCATGCATTTGGATCACATTTATGTCAATGTATGTCCATATTCCATACCTGATTCTCATGGTGTAGCCTGCAGACCAGTCTCCTTCAGTATATTCCCTTTCTAATCTCTCTCTCTCACTTGGCAAAATAAGAAGTACCTTTTAATTTTATTATTAACTATTCAGATTATAATTCTAAAGCAGTGCTTTTGTCATGTGACAGCTACAGAATTTTAGAATCTTGGAGATATAAGCTTTAAAAAAAATTCTAGTGGTTAAAATACGTGGTTCTTACGCATTCAGTGCAAAAATACAAAAAAAAAAAAAAAACACTAAAAAACCAAAAACTCAGATGCAAAGGAAAAGAGTACACAGTTCATTCCATCATGGAGTTTATAATTTGGGCTGAATTGCAAACAAAGTATATTGTAATAAATACTATAATGGGACACAGTACAGGTCTCTATAAAACCACCTATGGAAGTACCAAGTCCTGCCTTAGGGGATTTAAGGAAATGTTCTCTGAAGTAGTGTCAGCTAATTTAAGATGAAGAGGAATTATCTAGATCAAGTGCGCACAGTGGAGGGCAGAATGGAGAGACTGGCAAAGACTGCTCAGAGGCTGTGGGTTTGGAGGTGAGATTGTAGCATGCTTTGGGAATCTCAGGTAATTAGGTAGGAATTAAGAAGGCACTCTGAGAGAGGCAGCTGTGGTGAGGGAAGAAGTTGAAGAATAAATAGGATCCAGGCTGTCTGTGGCATCATAAGATCAACAGTTTGAAAATTTCTAAAAATCTTTTTCTTGGATTAAAAGAAAGTCGGGCCTGAAGTACTTAATGAGAAGTAGTTTCAGAGAAAAATAATCTGGTAAAACTCTACCTCATACTGAATATTTGAGAATTCAGAGATTTGGGAATATTTGTTAAAAGCTAGAAAATTTGGTAGAAACCATATTTCTATGTTTCCAATATGGTTGAAATTTAATGCATTGGAATTTTTGCACATTTAATGCATTATGAATTTAACTTTAATCTTCATTTTAAAATAGCCATTATATTGGAGATAATATTTTTTCAGTGTCTTATATATTGAAATTTTGCTAGAAGTTCAAGACCAGCCTGAGCAACCCCTGTCTCTGTTTACTCTGTGTGTGTGTGTGTGTGTGTGTGTGTATTTGCGATACAGCAAGTGCGATTTCACATATATTAGAAGTTCTCGGCTGGGCATAGTGGCTCACACCTGTAATCCCAGCACTTTGGCAGGCCAAAGCAGGTGGATCACCTGAGATCAGGAGTTCAAGACCAGCCTGGTCAACATGGTGAAACCCCATCTCTACAAAAATACAAAAATTAGCCAGGCATGATGGCAGGTGCCTTTAATCCCAGCTACTTGGGAGGTTGAGGCAGGAGAATTGCTTGAACGCTGGAGACAGAGGTTACAATGAGCCAAGATCGTACCATTTCACTCCAGCCTGGGTGACTGAGCGAGACTCCATCTCAAAAAAAAAAAAAAGGTTCTTGTCACAATTTAAGAACCAACTGGAATTAAAGTAACCATTTTATATTGCTGTAACTATGACTTCTGGTTAAAATACTTTGGTTAAAATATTTTGCTTTTTACTCCCATGAAACACATTACTTTTTTTTTCCTTATTTGGCATGTATGTTATTGTATGAAACTGAAGGGAAATGTAAAAAATTTTAGAGTAGTTTTTTTTTTTTTTTTTTTTTGAGACAGAGTCTAGCTCTGTCGCCCAGGCTGGAGTGTAGTGGTGCAATCTCGGCTCACTGCAACCTGCACCTCCTGGGTTCAAGGCATTCTCCTGCATTAGCCTCCCAAGTAACTAGGATTACAGGCGCGTGCCACCACGCTTGGCTAATTTTTTGTATTTTTAGTAGGGACGAGGTTTTACCGAGAGTAGATTTTTTTAATGCACTGTAAGATTAGGAAATACGCTGTATATATAAAACTTCTACAAAAGCTTAAATAACCTTTATTGGAAAACATGCTTTATTAGTAATATAAAAACAAAAAATTCATCTTAACTACCTGTTGGGACTTTCAAGAAATGGGAGTCCAAGGATGTATACAAATTGAGAGTTAATGTTGGTAGCATTGTTATGGGGCTAAAAAAGGTGTGCAATTTAAGAGATTAAACAAAGTTAAAAACTGATGAACAACAGTCATTGCAGAAAAGGAAGAATAAGTTTAATTTTTTCAGATAAAGTCTTTCCAGAGGATTTTGTTTCTATCCCAGTTCCTAAAGAAGGTTTATTCGTCCAGTATGGTAAAATACACACAGGATGGGGGATACAGAAGATAATTGTTTTAATAAACTAGAGCTGATTGCACCTTTTGTGGAAACATATCAGTGACTGAAGTGAGTGCAAGTCAGAGGCTTGGTGATAATGATAAGTGATTTGTAATAATCACTGCAATAATTTCATTATCCTTATTTCTTTCTGAGATTGTATTGTGTATCTTTTCCCTCCACCTTCTTCCCTTCCAGAGGCTCTCCCTATAGAGAATCTCCTTTGGGTCATTTTGAAAGCTATGGAGGAATGCCCTTTTTCCAGGCTCAGAAGATGTTTGTTGATGTACCAGAAAATACAGTAATACTGGATGAGATGACCCTTCGGCACATGGTTCAGGATTGCACTGCTGTAAAAACTCAGTTACTCAAACTGAAACGTCTCCTGCATCAGGTGAGTACATAATGAACATTTCCAGCTCTGATATTTTGAATTGCAAAATGGATTGACTTTAGTTTTTTTTTAAAAAAATAGTTACTTGGGTTCCTAATGTTTTTTTAGGTTTCTGTAGAATAATGCTTGTAAATAGTATATAATAGAAAGTTTTGTGGAAAAAACCTGTGGGATATTGCATGAGGGTCTCATTACACAGTCCCTGGTATTCACGAGTTGTATGATATTTGGTAAGGCAATCTCTGCTTCTGTTTCTTTATTTTCATAATAACTACATTGTAAGATTGTTGAGAGAATTAGAAATAGTAGTTGTAAATTGGCTAATCCAATGCCTGAAACAGAGTAGTTATTCAGTATTCAGGAGCTGCTACTATGATTTGAACTAAGTGACAAATAAGAAACAACAATTTTTGCTTTACATAATGGTAGTCATATAATTCAGTTTTTGTTGGGATCTTCACGTTTAATCTTCTCTCTCTTTTTTTTTTTTTTTTTCCTGAGGAAATCTAGGCTCATAGCAGCGCTGTCACTTGGTCACTTGTCCAAAGTCACAGGATAACGATGTCGGATCCTGGCATCTGATTCAGTAGCATTTAGTTTGTTTGAGCATTTAGCACTTACAGACAAGGTCAGATGCAAAGCAGAAAATCAAGGAATAAAATACTAATTTTAAGTCATAGATACCTTTCATTTGGTTTTAAATCTGTATTAGTACTTTGTACAATAGCCAACTTTAGCTTAAAACTACAGTTAAGAAAGAACAGCCTGACTTCTCTCTGCTGCTCAGTTTGCTTTCTGTCTTAGAATTCCTGGTGGCCATCAAAACAAAACATGCGGTATGTGGACATGAAAGGCTAGTTGAAGTGAAATTTGGCTCCTGTGTTAGAAATGATGGTTAATGTAAATATTCTATTAAAGTCAGGTAAATTGTTTTCTGTTACTCAGGGATTTTCTGTACTACTCCTCTCCATTCTTGTGGATATTTGACTACTGTTTTGAAAAGAAACTTTTCTGTACTAAAGAACAAAAGAGTAGAGAATCCTTTTTGGATATGGGATTGTTCAACTTCTCTTGAGGCAGAAATAAATTATATGATTGAATTATCCAGACATTGAGCTCACAGCCTAGTTTAACTGTAACTAGAAAATAGACATTGGTATATAGTGTTTTTCTGCTGGCTGGTCGGGGGAGATGATTTTTTGGTTAGGAGTTTTGGTGTCTAAGGGGAGAGGTGGTAGGGAATGGTGGGAAATAGGTAAAATATGTCAAATATCCGCTGTGAGCCAGTCATTGTACTAGCTATACCACGTACCATCTTTTGTGTTTGGGTGTTTTGTCCTGAATCATGAAGCATGACTAAATATCAGCTAATAAGACCAGGCCACCTCTAATAATGAAAGAAGTAGCATAATTCAAGTAGTAGTAGGTGAATTGGTAACCAATGATTGGTACTATAAAAATAAAAAAGTGTTTTTTGAGGTTCTTTGTGTAAAGTTGTAAATGGTTCTTTTCTGTCATTATGGCCTCTGAAATCTTAGGTACTACACACGGATAAAATTGACCCTATTTTTTGTTATGTGATGACAACAAAATTATGAGAAGAAAATTGTAAAATCTTTTTAGGTCATCTTTAAAGTTTCCCAAATGCTAATAGAAGTTTAAAGATGACTGAGTTCAAAATTTCGTGTCTTTGCCTCTTTAAATTTGTTTCTAATGTGACTGAATTAAAAAAATCAATGTGATACGTATATATACTTTTCAAAAAAAAATTCATACACTATTCAAAGGCTTAATGAAAAAACAGTATGTCTGGCCCCCCCCTCCCCACCTCAGTCAACCTGTTCTCATCTGAACAGGTTACTGTCCAAAGCTTCTCTAGAGCTGTCATGCAGGGACTTACTTTTTCCATAATCTGGGACTGGATCCATTCTTTCTATAACCATGTCTTCTTTCTTCCTAGTTTATTCTCTCACTTTGCTGGAATATATCTTTAATTTACTTCCTAAGAGAGGATTAATGAATGGCATACTGTTTTGGTTACTTCATTACTGAAAATCTCTTTATTCTGGTCTCACATATGATTGATATTAATAAGTTTCATTGGTGTGAAATAGTTTTGTTGCAATAGAAGAGAGTTTTCCCTTAGAAATTTGAGGGGATTGCTTTTCTAGGATCTTATTTAGCCATTGAATGGTCTACTACATTCTGATCCATTGTACGTTGTGTTTTGCTTGTTTTTATCTCTGGGATACTTTTAATCTTTTATTTCTAGCATTCTGCAGTTTCACAGTGATGTCCTTAGATTTGAGTTTTGTTGTAGTTGGTTGGTTGTTTTCCACTTAATGTTTTGGCAGTTATTAGGCTCTTTGGAGATTAATGTAGTGTGAAATTTTCTTGTTATTTTTATGATTATTCTCTTTCCTTTATTTTCTCTGTTATCTTTCTGGAATCTTTAGTAATCAGAAACTAGAATTTCTGAATTGAATCTCCTCACCTTTTTATTTTTTCTTATACATTTTTCTTTTTCTTTGGGTTTGGTTATGTTTCCTGGTGTATTTTCTCGACTTGATATTCCAGCTCTCTATTTTATTTAACTGTTTATCTTGGCAATCATATTTTCAATTTCCAAGAACTTTCGTATATGCTGTTCCTTATTCATATCATTCAACTGTTTTTTCAGGAACTATGGTAAGTAGAGAGTTTCTGTTTGTTCTGTTTCATTTTGTTGAGAATTCTTTGATTCCCTGTATTCGTTCTCTTTTTAAATGGTCATTTTGTTCTTTATGCTTATTTTGATTTCTCTTTCTTTTGGAGTATTTCTTCAAATTTATAATGATTCTTTGTTGTTTATTCAGGACTTTGTACATGGGCCAGGCTTGTCAACTGGCTGGTTTTACCTTATGCATTCTATGGATATCAGCGGACCCTCAGCATCTACTGAGTGAAGGGTTTTTCCTTCTGAGGTGGTTGTAATTTATCCAAAGAAGAAACCTGATTTTATGTTGGGAATAAAGTAGAATACTGGGAAAATGTTCGTTTCTTACACAGACTTTAAATTCATTCCCACATTTTTAACCGTAAGGGGTCATAAATGTATGTTTTTCTCTATCTGGCAAAATGGGTGATAAAAGAATGAGAAGAAGATAAATTCAGAAGGTTGGACATTCAGTAGGAAAAGCAGTGAGATCTCTTTGGCTTCTCATTGTCCTAAAAAGATGGTGGGGGAGGGTGATGGTGCTACATTAAAAGAAATGTAAAGAACAAGTAGATACAGTGTGAAATTGTGAATTGTATATTGATTTGGACAGATCAGCTATAAAGGACTTTTTGGATTAGTTGGGAAAATTTGAATATGGTCTGTATATTAGATGAGATGGAAATTTACTAAAATGGAAAGGGGAGATTGTTGACTGAAAAAAGTAGGTTATAAGGCTATATATATGTTATGATCATTTATCTATCTATATTTACATCTGTATGTTTCTCCAGAGGGGTATTCTCTAAGGTGTTACTAGTGATGATTCCTGGATGGTGAGAATGTAATTTCTTTTTTGTGTGTTTTTAAAAAATCTGTGTTTTCTCATTTCTAATTCTCCACACATTATTGTTTCTGGGGGGAAAAAAAGGGTTTTTTAAAAGGTATGTGTCTTACCAGTGATCAGTTAATTAACTGAATATGTTAAAAATATAGGATGCTCACGCTACCTGACTCCAAACTATACTACAAGGCTACAGTAACCAAAACAGCGTGGTACTGGTACCAAAACAAATATATAAACAAATGGAACAGAACAGAAATAATGCCACACATTTACATTTACACATATTTACAACCATCTGACCTTTGACAAACCTAACAAAAACAAGAAATGAGGAAAGAATTCCCTATTTAATAAATGGAGTTGGGAAAACTGGCTAGCCATAGGCAGAAAACTGAAACGGGACCCCTTCCTTACACCTTACACAAAAATTAACTCAAGATGGATTAAAGACTTAATTATAAGACCTAAAACCATAAAACTCTAGAAGAAAACCTAGGAAATACCATTCAGGACATAGATGTGGGCAAAGACTTCATGACTCAAACACCAAAAGCGATGGCAGCAAAAGCCAAAATTGACAAATGGGATCCAATTAAAGAGCTTCTGCATAGCAAGAGAAACTACCATCAGAGTGAACAGGCAACCTACAGAAGGGGAGAAAATTTTTGCAATCTATCCATCTGACAAAGGTCTAATATCCAGAATCTACAAGGAATTTAAACAGATTTACAATAAAAAAAAATCAAAAAGTGTGCAAAGGATATGAACAGACACTTCTCAAAAGAAGACAATTATGCAGCCAAAAAACATTTGAAAAAAACTTCATCATCACTGGTCATTAGAGAAATGCAAATTAAAACCACAATGAGATACCATCTCATGGCAGTTAAAATGGCGATCATTAAAAAGTCAGGAAACAACAGACGCTGGAGAGGATGTGGAGAAATAGGAACACTTTTACACTGTTTGTGGGAGTGTAAATTAGTTCAACCATTGTGGAAGACAGTGTGACGATTCCTCAAGGATCTAGAACCAGAAATACCATTTGACTCAGCAATCCCATTACTGGTTATATACCCAAAGGATTATTAATCATTTTGCTATAGAGACACATGCACACATGTTTATTGCAGCACTGTTCACAATAGCAAAGACTTGGAACCAACCCAAATGCCCATCAGTGATAGACTGGATGAAGAAAATGTGGCATATATACACCATGGAATGCTATGCAGCCACAGAAAAGGATGAGTTCATGTCCTTTGCAGGGACATGGATGAAGCTGGAAACCATCATTCTTAGCAAGCTGATACAGGAACAGAAAACCAAACACTGCATGTTCTTACTCATAAGTGGGAGTTGAAAAATGAGAACACATGGACACAGGGAGGGGAACATCACACAGCAGGGCCTGTCAGTGGTGGGGTGGGTAGGGGAGGATAGCGTTAGGAGAAATAC